CTTTCTTTCTTTCTTTCTTTCTTTCTTTCTTTCTTTCTTTCTTTCTTTCTTTCTTTAAATTGATTCCATACCCCACTATTAAATTGATACTGCACTATTCTGGACCCCAACTTTTTTATCACAATAAAAACAAAATAAAGAAAGTTCTATGGGAATATTGTACACACTGCAACCCTATTGACGAAGTACAGACAGATCTGGAAAGGCTAGGGTTGGTATGTATGTCAACCTCTATGTTTACAGTGTTACGGTAAGTTATTCTACTAGCCAGCAGTAATAAGCATAACATGTTTGTAGGTATGCAATCGTGAGCTGATAAAATAGAATTTATTATTAACTAAAGAAAAGCATGTAAAACCTAGGATGATCACTTAGCCACCTCAGCTCATCTGAATATATTCAAGGTTGGGTGAAACTCATTATTCAGGACTCGCAGCCTTGATAACTTTGATTTTCATCCATCCATAGCATGGCCAAAAGGTACCATTTAATGAAGTACCATTCAGAGAGTAAATGGGGTCATATAATAGACACTGCGGTTGCACCTTGTGTTCATGTACTGATAGCTGTTAAGGGTGCAGTGATGAACCAACAGAGCTCATTTCTCCTTGGTAATAAATTCATGCTATTAATATTTATCAAATGTGTGGGCCGTCTTAACTGAGCCACTGCACATAAGACCATAAATCTCTACTATCATATCAATTTTGAAGCTTCTTTTGTACAGTGTATAAATTTTAGGTTTTTTTTTTTTTAGTATTGACCACTCTTCTCTCAAACCAATTTGAGGCCAGTAGTACACCACTTCAGATATCTCTAGTTCCAAAGGGAACTTTAAGCTGTGGTTTCACTTTAAATTGCTCATCTAAGATTCTGTATTAATTGCCCACCATCAAACGCAATTAGCAATTCTTTCATGTGTGGTTTATGTAATGTAATACTTCAATTACATTATTCATTCAGGTTCTGTTTTGGATTATAGGCTGAAAATTCTTTATTAGTGTAGATGTAACCATGCTGCTGGAGTTTTAAAAAATTTACTGATTGAATAATTAATTGGAAAAGAACAAGCTGCAGATTCCTGATGGATTTATGAGACAATTACTCTGTCATGGGATTGTCTACCTTATACTATAGAAAACAGCAGAAAAATAATTCGATTGTAATGAGGCAGTCAAAACAGTAAATATGGGATAGTGCTAAAATTTGCAATGACTTTACTCCTTGACATTAAAATAATTCCATAATGCAAAAATATTTTCCACTGCATTATCTACACTGTTAGAAACATTTGGGATTCAAGTGAAGATACTGAAGAATGGCAAAAACAATCCTTTCAGAAAAACTGAAAAGCAGAAATATTCAGTACTATAGTGCAAACTTACACTAAAAGCAATAAACAATCGATTACGGGGAAAAAAATACTTAAGACTCACATACATATATAAAAATGCTACCAATCAGTGAAAATCCAGAAGGGCAACCACCAAGTTATAAATAGGACAATCAGTTTTGGGCTGCATAAATCCAAAGGACCACTAGATGGCAGAAGACAGATACAGAAAATGTTAACTCTTGGGTGCTTATAATGGTGGTCCTGATTTCTGCAGCCCATATCTGATAATCCTAAAAATGTGCCCTGAAACAAATATTTTGAAGTGTGCAGTTCTGGAAAAATACAAATATGACTCTTTCGTCCTTTTAAGTAGTCTTTAGGTGGCTGTGATACACAGGAGTGTTTTTTAAAACTCTGTGCACTTTTCTCTATTTTTTTCGAGGCTTCAAGACTGGAATTAATTTTTTATCAAATCTTACAAAGCAAGCAGTGTAGCTTGACATACACTTACACAGAAATGTGTATGTAACATGCAAATATGTTTTAGAAGGCTATTGATAAAAGGTCCCATATTTTATTCCATTATCACTTCTAATTCAAGAACAGTGATCTGTATATCAGTAACTCACATCTTTCGAAAAATTGGAGTAGATACCACTGCAACATTGTTGATATCAGATGAACAATTTGCTTCTCTCTAACTGATGTGCTCCAGTGACAAGTATATTGCAAAACACGATGTCTTTTGTAATGGATATTTTAAATGAAAGGCTAAACTACAGCACCCACCCATATTTTTATGTAGTCTTGTGTTAGGTTACCATTCTAACTTTTTCTTTACTACTTCTGAGTCAGCTGAACTTCAGGTCCTTCAAAACAGCTTTCTTTTTAATATTTGTGAGTCTATTTCAAAGATGATATTCTTTCTAGCTTCAGCAGCAAGGGAGTGATTTGTGCACTTACAGGTGTACTTTGTTTAGTGTCCCCTATGGCACAGATTGGACAGATTTTGTAAAAGATAGCATTACTTTTAAAGAAACATGCAATTTGACAAGCGATTGCATTTTACCTTCATTTTATTGCCATATTTTTCATCACACTCATTGTTTTCCAACTGTCGGTAAATTGCTCATTTTCTTAGTCTGTTACATTTGTAGACCTATTTACTGTTTATAAAGCAATATGCACTTACAGGTTTTGGAGATGGCTTGGGCTCCGAAGGTCGCATGTGCAAGTGGGTCATCATTGCCTGAAGACGTTCACGTTCTTTAGAAAGCTGTTAAAGAAAGAGTGAGATCAGAAGCATTTTAGAAATGACTAATAACAGCTATTTTATTTCATGTGATACATCTTATCTTTGGAGACTGTTATGGAGTAATGGTTCATGCATACCAAAGCCTATGTCAGTAAAAACTTTTATAGAGAGGTAAAGACAACTTGGGTTTTCAGGAGTGGATGGACAGAAAGAAGAAGTCTGTATAGCTTTTGTCATGTTTAAAAGGTCAGAGAAAACAAATAATACTTCATCTTTTTGTCAATAAGAGAATTGAGGTCACTACTGACTCAACAGTGACAAGTTACTAGGTCTGTAAATTAGATGGCCCATAGTGTCTCTTTAAAGTCCTGTGGACACTGTTAGCAATGGACTAGAGCCAACAGCTGTGAAGAGGTGAAGGGTCCTCATAGCATGGTGCCTACCAAGACTGTCTGTACATTTCATCCATTCCCACTGAGGTCCAGTTAGTGCCCCCTGCAATCTACCATAATCAATCTAATTCAATAGAGTGACAGGGACCAGGCAGTGTGAAATGTTGAACTCTGCCATTAATCTGACATCTATACTGTACTGGGTCTCATTACAACTGATGGACCTTACTTTTCTACTAGTCATATAAAAGAGGGGGGAGGGAAGAACTCATAATTGGTCACCCTGAAAGCAGCAAGTCCACTGAGCCTTTTATATCGCAACAGAATATTTGTAAATGTAAACAGCTCCTCAAGAAAGTCTTAAACATGGCTCACAAATGTCTGAGAATTATTTGTAGCCCCTCCTTTTGTTATATTATAACTGATTCTCAACTGATTTCTACAGTACTCAACAGAACAATATTTAGTTTTGTGTATAGGTAGTACTAATGATCAAAAATGCAGAAATAAATGATCATCCAATTTTTTAAAGGCCCAAAAAGTATCATACACAAAGATAAAAACCCTAAAAGCATTATTCAAGTAAGGTTAACTTAAATACACTAAAACAATAAATTAAATGAATAATCATAATACTTAGTCTAAACATTTCTTTTCCTGCCAAACTCATGAAGATCTGTCCTTGTGTTTTGTGCTGGATTCAGAATAAGGTACTAATTAGTATAAAATAGAAGTGTTTGCAATAATTGCACATATATACACAAATGTACATGTACATGTCTATATATACTTTTCTGAAGGATTTGGAGTGGGTAAATAAAGCAAGGTCCTCACTTCTAAAATAGATGAGAATGTCACAGAAGTTATTTGATTTACCACTGTTTAATTTGCAGACCAAAAAAAGGAATCCAAAGAGATTTATTTTGTTTTAAACCTTACATGTTTAAAACAAAATAAAACAAAACAAAACAAACCCACCACCTGCTCCCAGGCTTGGATTATCTGGAGTCTTTTCCATAACTATGGAAGCTATCACCTTTGCAGAATGAGCATGAAATATAAAATGGTACCATTAAAACTGTTTAGGGCTATAAAGGTGGACATACTTGAGACAGAATACAGTTTAATTGGTCAGTATTGAAAAGATTATTAAATATAATTCTGCCAGAGCTTCTTTTAGTTAAAAACATGTGAATGAAATTAAGGACATTTTCTACTAGCATGAAATATAAAATGGTACCATTAAAACTGTTTAGGGCTATAAAGGTGGACATACTTGAGACAGAATACAGTTTAATTGGTCAGTATTGAAAAGATTATTAAATATAATTCTGCCAGAGCTTCTTTTAGTTAAAAACATGTGAATGAAATTAAGGACATTTTCTACTAGACTAAAGGCACTTGATCCCCAGGTTTAAGACTTTATTATTGTATTGGCCATTCTAGTTAGCTATCATATACCCCATGTCTGGTGGGCTTCTCTCCAGTTATACTAAACGAAAAATTGCCAGTAATTTGTCTTTCCCTTCCACACCACCACACCCCCAATTGTTGAATCTATATGTAAAAGGATGATTCTGACAGCTGATTTACATAAGCCATTTTAGGAATGATAATATTATGAATTTTTGGGGGGAGAGAATCTACAGTATTCTTAGATCGCAAAAAGTACATTACACTGAGAATCATCATACGCTAAAACAAATGTGAAAATCAAACTTATTATGTGAACAAGACAGGAGCAAAAGTCCTGGATTCTAAATCTACCCTTTATGAATCCCCACACACATATTCTCATAACTATATGACATGATGAAGCAGGTTGAAGACCTATCTACAAATATTCCCATTGTGAAGGTAAAGGACTCAGAAATCTTGACCATCACATGAATGTATAGTTGCAGGTCAATGATGTTATTGGCATACATTTATGATGTATGTTTATTTCTGTGAATAGTTGCTCTGGAAGGTTTCAAGAATTTATATGAGTAAAGAAGATACAGAATATGAGTTAATCCAGACTTCATAATGACTTGGCACCACAAACATCCCACTTCATAAAGGGACAATTACCAAAATGGTTTAAAAAAATTGATAGTTAAAAACAATTTTTAAAGTAACTGAAGTTGAAACTTATTCAGAAAAAAAATACTCACTGAGCACAGTGGATCTTTTCCGAATAGATGTTTTAAATTGCACTGCTTTGGCTAGTTAATTAATTAGTATTTAGAGATTTTATTTATTTAAAAACATAGAAATAGATACTGAACACATGCTCATAAATGTTAACCCATGTATGTATAATTCCATAAGAAATTATTACTGTTTTCTCAAAGAATTCAAATGCATTCAGAATATGGATATATTCTCAAACCTGTATTTCTAATTGCTGGACCACCTGCATTTGCACCCGACACTGAGCAGTGCTTCTGTCATCCAATGCATGTTCGTTATTAAGGTGCCTAGTAAAAGAAGAAATAATTTTAAAAATATAGAACATTAGGCAGATGTTGATAACCTTCTGAATCCTACTCTGTATATGTATGTGTGCGTATGAGTGTTCTGTAAACACAATTCATATGTCAGAAAGCTAGTTACTGGAAACCCAGTTCTAACCTGAGCTGCTGTAACAGGCGTAACAGAACCCCCTTGCAGAAAACTTCAGCAGAAGGAAACTTTATCCCTTCAACATTCCTCTAGTGAAATTCATTGCTGAGTAGTTTGGAAGATGCAAATGAGCAGTCTTGGTCCTAAATGGACTAGGAGACACGATTGGAAGCCCAAGAAAATGGGGCACAGAGGTATAATGACAAGGGGAACAAACTTAACACTTCTTTTAGGAAAGAGCTAGTCATGGGTTTCAATAGTAGGGGTAAAGTAACATCACACATGTCATGATGACAGTGCAAACGACACTACAAATTCGTATCATTTTGTGTGACATAATGTAATTGTGACTTTTATACCAAATGCCTATGGATCTAGTTCCTCTTACCTGACAGTTGTGAAGGGACAAACATGTCTAAATAAATCTGCCTAAACATTTAACCACACCTCTGTATGATTTGAGTACAGCTACCAAATATGAATTTTCCCCTTACCTCTCCTTCACATGATAAGAACACAGATTGTTAATCTATAAAACATTTGGGTAAAGTCAGCAGCTGTGAAATGTCTTATCTGAATGAAAACAAGTACTATAATGTCTACCTTTCAACACACATAGCCTCTGAACTAGTAAAAAATGCACTTCTGGATGAGCAATGTAGAAAGGCAAAGGACACAGAGTTGGACAATGGAGGAGGAGAAGTACAGAGGAAAGAATGCAAATAAAACACAAATGTGATCACAATAAAAATTTGCTTGAGTTTCATATTATTGAATAGATCACATTATGTAGCACAATATATTTACCAAGTCGTTATTTACTATTCAGGGAAAATATTCTGCTTGATAAAGCATCTTGCATCTTCATCTGCAAGTGAGAACTTCCTATCTTCCAGTCCTGGGAAAAATATTAACACCTAAGCTTCTTACTGGGCTTACCGAAAATTTGACTTGTACAGGACCTTCATTTTTAAAGAATAGTAAGTGGCCTGTTTTAAGTTTTCAAACCTATTTAGTTTTTTTTTTTTTAACTTTCCAAGCAACATAATTGAAGAGGTATGTTGCTTCAAGAAGAACCATCTGAAAAAGAGTGTACATGTGGTGTTTTGTTTGTTTGATTACTCATGGTTGAATGACTGATCTCAAAATTACAGTAAACAAATAGAAAGTTAATTGATGTATTAATTGGCTGTGTGACCCATCACAGAATTCTGGTCCGCACTTTACAGATATTTTAAAATTATCTCTGTGATGTATTATTGCAATTAAGGTTGTAGCAGTTGGGAGGGTTAATCTGATACCAATCTAAGTTATTCACAGATTTCCAAATAAACATGACAGGATGATTTTGAATCTAATAAACAAGGGGTAGCTTTTAGGTAACAATCATTTAAACACATGGATGAAATACTTGTATGGATGAATAACTATTGCCCTGGTATGTAATATTTCTATGTTATTTTGAATGCAGGTGACAGACATACTGAGGTTATGTCTAGTCACAGAAATTGATTGTTGCCAACATCCCTAATAACTATCAGCAAACAAATTATATAAGCATCCCAAGAAGAACTTACTATAATCAGAAGGAATCTAGAAGAAGTATGTCATATGAAGACAATGTCATGCAAAGCAGTATGCAATGAAAAAGAAACAAAAATGATTCTATGGAATTACATCCTAATAACAATATCTTGTGTAAGTTTCAGATTTCTTAATAGCTTCTTCTCTATGCTTCCAAGCTCTTAATGCAATGCAATTTCTTTATGCACAGGTTGGTTTGTAATGACATACTGTTCAGCAAACAGTGACTTAAGATAAACTTGTGCTAATAACAAGCAACCTAAGGTTGTGAATGTAATATTAGACTTGGATACAGAATAGCAGGCTTGAAGCTATAGGGCCGTCTGCATTATCTTGAGTTACTTCTCATCTTTCAACCTATGCTTCTGCAAGGGATGGTTGTAATGATAAGTGGCCGGGGATGTTTTCTGAAGGGAAAATTTGAATAAACATGTACTATTAGTAATATAACTAAAACAACATATCTTGGCCATACAGTGGGAAAATATTGGCTTGTAGCAATTCCATATTCACGCTGTTGTTTGTGGACAAGAATCTTAAAAATCTATTTGTGATTTCTTCTGTGCGTGTGTGTGTGTGTGTATGAGAGAGAGAGAGAGAGAAAGAGAGAGAGAAGACTGGGATAGAGAAGACTAGTAACATCAACAAGCCCTGGTGGGAAACTTTTCAAAAGAACATGTGAGGTCATATAGAAGACTATGCTGTACAATCTGGGAGAATCAAGGGAACAGAAAGGTATCGATCCTATCTATATACAACATCAGCTAGAAATAGGAGGGTTGGGGAGAGACAAGCAGTACCTATAGCTAACAGCATATATAATCTTCTATCCGATTATTCTTTTAACATAAGGAAATGGGTATTAAGCTTATTGAAAAGGATATTGGCTAGATATTATGAGCATGGTATTTAGAAAAGGATATCAGATTTTAAAGGCCCAAACTGCTGCTAAGATCTAATTTATGTTTTCAGAAGTTTTTTCCTGTATTAGTTACATCTAATGTGACAAAGAAGTAAGCAATAGGGTATGAAATCAGGGAGTGACTCCTTTAGAGCTCACATGAGAAGTGCGATAACATCCAACATAGCTTCATTTGACCTGTTTTCCCTAGTGTTTTCAGAGCTAGGGAAAAATAATTTTGGACCTACCACTATCTACTCAAAGATATTTAAATGATATTTGTAAGAAAGATATTTGTAAGAAAGAAGTGCATGGTGAATGACCAATTGGGGGACTAGAAAATCTGGATAGTGCTAGGTTTAGAACTTGTTCTTAAAATCTGTTTTAGCTATTACCATAAGAAACACTTACCTATACAGCTAGTTACAATAGGTGCTATTTCCAATACCCATTCTATACAAAAGCTACAAATGTAATGAGCCTGGTCAGACACAAGGAAATTTCATATTCAGTCCTTATACATTTACACTATTTTGTTACCTATCCATATTACTGAATGCTTTTTGGAATCTGAAGTGAAATTGTTGATATAGAGGGGAAGATGAAGAGATAATCTCTCCAAGTAGTTTCTGGGAGATGTTTAACAGTGTAGGGAAAAGAGCTGAGCTCTGTGGGATCTTATAAGGGCTCAGCCTTGGACTTAACTGCTTATCTGCTATGATTATTGACTGGAACCACCCACTTAGAAAGGCGCACAACCCCTTAGTGATGCCTCCAACTCCAACCCCTGTAGATGGTCCACAAGAATACCATGTAAAAATACAAATGTTGTCAAGAGGGACCAGGAGAGATGAATTCCTTCCACTGAGGTCCCAACAAATGTTATCAACCAAAGCAACCAATGCTGTTTCCATACATGCCTAGTACCAAACCCTAACTGGAAAGGATCTGGATAATCCACTTTATCTAGGATGCTCTGTGGATGATATTCTACCACTTTCTCTAATATCTTCCCCAAAAAGAGAGTTTGGGGACTGGGTTGAAGTTGCCTAATACAGATCAAGAGATGGCTTTACTACAGCCTCCTTCAATTTTGATGGCACCTCCCCTTCTCTTAAAGAAGTATTAATCACTTCCAAAATTCAGTTGCACACACACATCTCAGCTGCCCAAAGAAGCCAAGTTAGGCATGGATCGAGCCAACAGGTAGGTCATACCACTTCTTCAGACTTCAGATTAAAAGTATCCCAGATCAGATTGTAAGATATTACATTAATTATCTGGCTTGACTGTGTTCTAAAGGCATGAAATCTTGAGCAAATATGAGTAATTTTATCTTCAAAGAATCTCACAAACATGTCACTGCAGCCTGAAGATATAACACAGCTACTGAAAAAAGAGTCTGCAAGTGCAGAGAACTACATATGCTTTGTTTCTCTCACCACAAAGGACATGCCCAAAGATGGACATATACCTGCACTTGGTCATTTTCACTTTTGGTCTAATATAGCTCCAATAAGCTGAACTGTCTCTTCAGTCATTTCATTTGCTGGAGCTTCTTGGTAAACCAAGGTACCCCTGGGATCAGTAATTACAGAGAACCTACACAAGGATAATTCTGTCAGAACCTTGGGCATCTCCATAATTCAAAGATGGAGAAATGGGACTGCCTGCTAAATCACTGGGAAATCCCCAATAACATAAACACAGAGCTGTTCTGTATAAAATGCCAGACTTGAATTCACATAGGCAAGAGTTCCTCTGTAAAAGAGGAAAGTGACTTTCCTTCAAAGGGAGTAATTACTAATTTCTTAAGATGTAGAAAATGTGTGTCTACATCTTCAGTCTCTTTTTTAAGAAACTAAGTACTAGCTAAACAAATATCCATGAACAAACAGAAAAAAATATATTTGTGGACATATCCAGTGCAAGAATATTAATATTTAATGATATAGATAATACTCTTAGGTAGAAAGAGAACATAGATAATTAGTATAGAAGAGGATGCTTTAGTGAGTCCAAATGTGGCTAGATTTCTTGTATACAGCATTTTACAGTGGGGCAAAAAAGTATTTAGTCAGCCACCAATTGTGCAAGTTTTCCCACTTAAAAAGATGAGAGAGGCCTGTAATTTTCATCATAGGTATACCTCAACTAT